GTTCATTTTAAGAGTTTGGACAGGAACAATAAAGTCCTCATTCCTATTTGGGAATCAAACCGAGAACACAGCAGTTGCAATGCTGAATCCCAAAAAGGAAGGTGGACACAATATTTGCAACTTTTCTTCTTGACACTGATTTTGACCTTTTGTTTCACTTGCAAAATGATAGTCAGTGAGATTTTAACACCATGGAGAGAGGCCCTTCAGCCCATAATATCTATGCCAGTCATCAAACATCTCACTTCTCAACCCAGTTTCCAACACTTGGCCCATCGCCTCGTTTGCGTTTCAAGTGCTCAGCTGAATAATTAGTTTATGTCTTGAGGGCATCAGTGGAACAAAAACACTTCCTTCAACAAATGACAGGAAATATTGTTTGCTGCAATATGAATCTATGTTTTTCTCTTTGAAGACAGTTATGAAAGCCAAACTCTTTCTCAGAGCCATTTGCCAGTTTTCCTCATGATGCCAACAGTGTAGATTTAAATCCCACACCGCCTGAGGCTACTCTCCCCTTTCAACCTCTCGGCTGACATGAGATATGGTGTCCTTCAGGTCAACCCACCACCAGTTTTGAATCTCCCCTGTGACCAAGAATGTGTATGATGACTCAGTGTCAGTACCAGTGTGGCTCAGTGTCAGACTTTGTGATATTATTATCCCTGGGATGCAAAAGGCATTGTATTCTTAATTATTTATTAATTCTTAATTGTATTATATATGTCAGTTGCCTTGGAAGAAAGTGTAGAGAAAGATTGTTTTTACACATTACGACAAATAAAATTCAGTCTTTACAATGGCGGGCACTTAACGCAGAATTCCGAGCGCGATGCACGGCATTCCTTATCACTGCGCAGGCTCAGTATGTTCCCGCGGGCCCACAATCCAGAGCATGCGCAGGGAGCGATCCTGAGAAGCAGTCGCTGTTTTCCTCGGCTCCACAAAAGGTAACAATGAGGCGGAACGGAGGAGGCGATAGACCGGGCGGTTAGACGGGGAGGCTTTCTAAACACTTCGTGGATGAGGCAGACCCCGCATAAAGAAGCTATCTGCGCCCGTTTCACAAAACGGGACAAATCGAGGCTCCCTCTCAACAGCAGGCCGCAAGTAACGGCCGCCATCTTCGTAGGAGGCCAAGGGCAGCAGGGCGCATGTGCGGTCATCCTGGGCCAGGAGAAAGAATGTTGTGAATGTCTCTGCTGGACTGAAAGGGATGGAGTTTATAAACTGCTTTTGCAGGGAGTGAGGAGGGGAGGATTTACACACAGCATACTCGAAATAACAGAAATATTTGTCTCTTCTGAAATTCTGTCCTGGACTGACTGAGATGGCTTTTGTAAACTTATTTTGCAGCATGTTAGAAGAGGATTTACAGAGTGCAAACTCAAACCGCATAACATACCAAGATCTGAATGTGCCACTCAGCACTGGATATTATTGGCCTTTCAATGTAAGTATTGAGCAAGATAAAAGTTACAAAATTCCTTCCTTGTATCTCCCAGTAACTATTGCCTCGTATCTTAAATCTGTGTGTCTCTCAGTTTTACTGTTGGTGAAGAGGAACAGCAGCTCTTTGTCTACCTTATTTAAACCTATTATAAACCTAGACACTTTATCTCAATCTCCTTTGCTCTGTGCAGAACTTCAGTTTCCCCAACCTGACCTTGCAACTCATATCCTTCTTTTCTTGAGCCATTCTGATTCATCTCCTTTCAAATCTCTCCTCAGACCCTCACATCCTTTGTCAAGATCACCTGTTTGTGCAGACCCAAATGCTCTCTGTTCAAGTCGGTGATGTTATCTCTCACGAGCAATTGCCCAGTGACATCACCCTGATTCCCAGTTATTTCCTAAACTATGGGTTTCCTCTGATCCCAAAGCTTCTGATATCTTTTGAGCTGCAGACTCCAGCATTTGATTTTAAAATTGAACACAATGAAATTATTTCAATGTTTTTAACCAGTAATCTACACAATTCACCTTCTCATGTTCTTCTCAGTTATCTGACTCTGGGACGAATGCGACTCATTTTGTCACCCCCTCGTTATGTGGCTTGTGTCAAGACCTGCTTTATAACACTCGACATTGTTCTGGTCCATCTCTGCTCTCCTTATCAACTTGATCATTTTAATCTGCTATGTCTCCTACAACGTGTGTAACTGTCTTATTTTATTGTTACTTCCATTGACTCTCTCATGAGGTTTTTACAGCTGAACATTGCCTGACCACTTGCTGCTGGCAATTATCTTCCCTTAATAGGTCCCACAAGACTGTTAGGTAATGAGTTATTCACCAGGTGATGATGACGGAACTGTGATATGTCTAAATCAATGGCAATTAATTTATATCAATATTGCACCCTTCACATTGTGGAAACTTCCAATCTGTTCGTTGAGAGTGTTATAATGCAACTTTTATGATGTGAAAATGTGGCAGGAACTGCTACACCTGCCCCTCTACCTCCCCCCTAACTTCCATCCAAGGCACCAAACAAACCTTTCACATCAGACGAGGTTCACCTGTTCATCCGTCAATGTAGTCGATTGCATCCGCTGCTTCCGATGTGACCTCCCCTACATCGTTGAGACCAAGCGGAGGCTCGGAGACCGGTTTGTAGAGCACCTACGCTCTTTGCGA